CATAGGTTATTCTACCAACGGCTAACCTATTCTTCTGTTCCCTTGGTTTCCATTCAATATTTGTACGATCGTAAACAAACATTGTAGGAAACTCAGCATATGTTAGGTTTTCAGCTTCTGGATACTTATTGCAAGCTTCAAAAAATGCTAAAAACATTGAACTCTGTACGGACCTGCGATTTAGAACAGTTTCAACTGGATCATCATCATCAAAAAGTACTGATTGCTCGTTTTCAAGATGAAAATAGAGTTTCTCCACTGGAGTCGTCCTAAAATGGATTAGAAATGCTAGCAAATGCCATGTAGCTTCGCATGCAGAAACATATCTACATACAAAGAAATCAGTAGATATTTAGTTTGTGATCAAAACTTTTACAACTTATAAAACATGCATACAATCTATATCCAATTAAATATTACCTGCAATTGAAGTACTCCTTAATTTTATCAGTATTATCCTCGCCATTTTCATCTACATTTGCGCATGCTACAGATTCTGCACTTTGATTTACATCATGTTCAATAGTAGCTAGAACACGATCAGGTCCTTTGTTGATATATTTGAAAAGGTATTTGATTGACCTTGCCTGAGTACACCATTCAACATTGATGTGAGCTCTATATCGCAACGATAGCTCTCTATTATAAGGCACAACAAAACTGTTGTCAATTTGTAGTCCATTCTTCTCAACAAATGCCTCAGTCTTCCTTCTCATATAATGTGGAAACCCTCTGTTGTCAATGGTAGTTCTTTCACAATATTTCTTTGGAAACTGCTTAGAACACTTCCCATTTACCATACATGGACTACTTTTGTTAATCACTCCGCAAGGTCCATGTATCATGTTCTGCTTCACTACTTCATACAAAACCGGATCAGTATCTTTTTCAGGAATCTCAGCAGAAATAACTTTATCAATAGATTCAGCAGTAGACAATTTTCTTTTTTCCGCCATCCATAGTAGGATATGTGCATGTGGAAGTCCTCTTTTCTGGAATTCAATAGTATACATACCTGTTAATATAAAACAACCAAATATGGATTATTATAACAATTTTAATCAAATTATAAATACAAATATTAAGAATGTAAACTTAACATACCACAAACACTTTTCCGAAAATGTTCTTTTTAGTGAGATCACTCATGAGGCTGTCTAGCTTAATTTTGAATATCCTGTAGAAGATATCTGGTCTATCTTCAGGATTCAAATTTCGCTTCTTTGTATATCTAATTATCTCAGGCCAGTTTGGATTGCAGGTGAAAGTTATAAAAAGATCAGAAAATCCAAAGTGCTTACAAATGGCCATTGCATCCAAATAGTTATTGTTCATATAGCGTGAACCACCGGTAAATGATGCAAGTATCAAAATCCTCTTACCTCTGTTGGATAAATCAGAGGTTCCTTCCTTTTCAGCCTCAACCAGATTCATATACTTATCTGAACGAAGCTTCTTCTGATTGTTCCTGAAATATCGAAGTCGACTAGACTCTATCATAGTAAACACATCAACCAGAAACTGCTGATACAATCGTTTAGACCGAATGACTGACTGAGATTCCATTAACCTATCTTGAATTCTATAAGCATAGAATTCTCACATGCTTATAGTTTTCCGTTTCTGTTTGTTGCCATCATCAAAACCGTCTTCAATACCACAGTGAATCCATCCTCACCATATGGAAATAATAATGGATACTGAAGAGCTAGATAACCCACTTATAGTTCACTAATTCTTCTGAGGTTTCCGTGTTTAGTCTCTAATACAATATCTCGTATATCCATTCCTTCTTGAAAATACCCAGGAATCAAGGCTGCGACTTCTGTGGAAGTTGGCATGTTATGTGTTCTAGCATCTTTATTCCTGTTAGCAATGAGAACGAACTTGACGTTGTCTTCTGGTTGTTGAATATTGTATCTGTCTTTGTAAGAACGGAAAGCTTTTTCACCATTGGATTACAAAAGTTTAACATCTTCATGAGACATTCAATTAACGCCGGCCTTAACTTGGTCGAGCTAGAGACATTCTTGCTGAAATAGTAAGAAAGTGCATAATTAAATGTAATGTATGATAAACATATTAACCATTAGTAAACACTAATGTAATGGATATTAAAACAGTGCGTACAGTGCATACCTGATTGATTTCTCTCTGTTTGTTATCTCATTAGCTGTATCATGGATATACAGCTGACAGAACTTTGGTTTCTATTTCCTTTGAGGAATCAAAGAACCAATTAAGTGATAATTTTCACCATGTAGTTGGAATACGGGTGGACCACGACCCTTGTTTATATCGTAATTTATCTTTCCACCAATAGATGTAAAAGAAAACATCATGTTGTAAGCTCTGATATTCTCACGAAAGTGGCGACAAATTTCATCATCACTCGAGAAGAGATATATCAAAAATGGAGGAGGTTGGTTAAGTAAGGGTAGCTTAACTTTTCCCTGCAAACAACATATAGTAAATATATATGTTGCACTCTTCTTCTTTTTCTGAATTCGTTCATTAAACCACATCCTTGCTTTGCAGTGCGTGCATTCATACATCGGATCACCATCATCATAATATCCTGAGGTAATATAACATTCGAGATAATTAAACAATTAATACAGTTAATAATATAACGGAAAAAGTATCAATATAAATGTGTAAAATTAGAGACATAACCATTTTCCAATACCACAGGTTTACGTTCATGATCATAATCTTCTGCTATAGTATCAGTTCCATGAGGACTTTCGTTAAACTTAACCCCTTTCATTAAACGTTTCCTGTTATGTCTGGCCTTTCGCTGTCTCTCGAACAAAGATTTAGATAGTTTCTCAAGTCTTTCTTTAGCAATGATTTTGTCAACAGAAGAGTTCCACCACATAATGACTTAGATTCAGAGTTAAGATTACATTAATATGTATTCAAGGATAATAAAAATTAAAAGTAATAGGAAAAAAATGAATTATTAATTAAGAGAAGGATACATGACTTCTCTATTCCATCAACTGTGTCTGAGCTTGATGTATTCTTGTTTGATTTCTCTGGTGAAAACATATAACCAAAGAATATTGAATCAATAGGAATGTTATATATTAAATCAGATACATCGTTTAGATATAAATACAATTCAGTAATCTTACTTGGACCACTATGTACTTGTTTAGGAAGACCGGAATGCTGGGGTTGTAAAACAGGAGTTGTTCGAGACTTACTAACAACAGATGGTGGCGTCGCATAGGTTGTATTTGAGGTTGTACATTCAGATACATTAGTATCATTTGATGAAAGGATACCATCTGATAATAAAATTGAAAAACAAACAATGAGTTAATAATTTTTATAGATAAAATGTTATCAATCCATTCTACTATTAATAAATGGAATTATTCTTACTTGGCTGTAAAGGTAGAGATTTAGCAATACCAGAATTTAGCTTCCGTGAATTAGGATTTGTTCGAGATTTGCTAACAACATATCGGCATGTCGCATAGGTAATATTAGAGGTAGTGGTTTCATTCCTATTAGTTTGCCATGATAATTGGATAACACCAGTACCATTACTAACGTTGCTTGCACGGTTTAGATCAGGAATTGTTGTATTATGTTTTGCAATTTTAGGCCGTGAAAATTGAGTTTCAGATATGATGTTACCAAACCTAATACCTGGAAATATAATATATGTTAGCATTGAATTTATAAACATATAAGCTTACTATATGTAAAAGCAAGAAATGAAAAATGGTAGTTGAGATATAGGTAACCCGTTTCGTCAGAAGATGGTGAGCATTGCAAAGGTCTCTTTATAGGTGGCCTGTTTTCTTTTAATGAGCTTGATAATGCTATATGAAGACAAACAATATCATACCATATAACATATAAGACAATTCCTAAAATGATTTTTTAAATAAAACATAGTTCACATACACTGTTGAGATTTATGTGTGTTTGACCGTATAGAGAAACAACCAGAGTTGCTGACATCTCTTAGAATTTCATCTATGTATATAAACAAAAAAGACAACACAATTTAAAAATAATTCAAAGTATAAAACTATTGAGTAAAGCAAATAATAGATAAAAACTCACTTGAAGTAGATATATCAGATGTAATCCGAGATGAACTCTTCACCAAATCGTTTGAATTGCTTAAATCTCTAAATATCATATCAAATGCACCAGAAATAGGCTTTGTGGAATGTGTTTGGCTGGTAGATGCTGTCTTCTGTTTTTTCTGAATTCTGTTTCATCATTTTCGTATCCATAACGATTTTTTTTAGAACTATGCATTGCATAAGAAAGTGAATATAAGTGTAAATAGAGGTAAACGTGAACACAAAGAATGTTATGAAGCGGAAAACTTGACTTATATGAATGAATGGTTGTTTGTTCGAAAACTCAAACTAAATGTGATCCCTTATGAATAGAAAAACAAATATTCTACATTTAAATTCATATATCTAAATCCACAAAAATAGATCATAAATATAGAGAAATAATCAATTTAGTTACAAATTGCCAAATGAAAAGGTTAAAAGGTATAAGTTATAATACATTATTCAGTTTTAGCTATTGATGGAATTTTTTTTCGGTTAGTAGCTATACGGATATTTGGATATATAGATTCGTATAAGTATATTTAATTTCTTTACAGTTTTTGAAATAATACTCCATAAATTAATAAAGAGTAATACGTTTAAAATTGATTATAAGCTAATTATGTTTGACTACTATTTAATATATCATTTATTTCATTTGAATGATGGTCATAAGATTTCAAATACAAATTAGAAAATTACTAAAACGATATACAGAGTAAAACAAAAAAACTAATGGTGTGAAAAATGGTACGACATCATAATATTGATTAAAAATAACCATCCGATTACAAAAAAAAAATCATCCAAAAGCTAAGTAGAATAAAAAACAATGATAAAAGAAACAATTATTCAGACGATTAAAACATAACAAAACAGTTATAATAACTGATTTCGGTTCTTAAATCATGGCTTCTCTGTCTTCACGGTCTTAAGAGTCAGAATACTTCGATTAGTCTCAACAGTTTTCTCATCCTTACACTTCTTCTTTGCAGCCGAATACTCATCAGTATCCTTAATCACTTCCATCTTTTCATTGGTCTTGCGCTTAGAAGTAGGTGTAATTTCAGAATCATCATCATCCATAATCATTAGAGGAACCTATAACATATTAATTAATCTGTATCAATGAAAGTATTATATAATAGTACACATGAATGTAAGAAAACAGAATACACAAATATACCTTTCCATCAAGAGTATTGTGAGCTTTTTCCTCTATCTTGATACTTGGAGTGCTCTACGAAAAGTGAAAGTAATGAATTGTAAAAAATAAAGAATTAGTGTATAAATATTTTTTGATAACCAAATGATATAACTGTACTTTGTGTAATTATACTGATGACCTTGTATGTGTCACTATTGAAAACAATATTTGAACTTGCAATTGCAATCTTGAAGAGAAACGTTTTACCACAAATATTGCTCAAAGCCAAGGGCAAGACATTAGGATCCTGAATCTAAACAAAGAGGAATTTAAAAAAATTTAAATAGATAAAGCCAGAAATGGTCATGGACAAATGCATTAGAAATATGAACCTCATTAACAGTCTGAGTTAACTGAGCAGCAGTTGGTTGACAACTTCCTTTGCCTCTTGATCAAATAAGAGGAATTTGGTTTCACTAGTATTATCCATGACACAAAAAGTCAACATGAACCTATCATATAATTCAAAATAGGATAAGTTGTACTTTATTAGAAGTGAAAACTTTACTATAGCACAAATACAATAACAGACTTACGATGGATAAACATTCTCAACATCCTCATTGCATTTTTTTGCACTGCCATAATTGTTTCTTAAATGTTTTCCCAGGATATAGTTCTTTAAGTAATCCATATCATGAGGGAGAACCTTTTTAGCACAGGCTCCGCATGACATGTAATACCAACCAAACTCAGTGTCAATAGACATAATTGTGGCCATGGTAACACATTTGACAACCTTTGAAAGTGAATAATGATATTAGAATCAAATATATGTTATATAAATTAAACTGACATAATATATAATTACCTCAGAAGCAGCAATAATCTCGCTAATAGTCCTTCGAGGACTATGCAAGAAGAAATCGTCCCTTACTGATACAGAATTGACAATAGTCAACTGATTTGGATGGGTATGGGTCAGGGTTAAACTATCTTTTGGCAATCTGTATAGATTAGATTACATAGTTATTAGAATATAAAACTTGAGAAGTAAATAGAAACATGGAGATAATTAGTTTTACCTCTCTTTAAAAGCCAAACTCTCTGGGAAGACTGGATCAGTAATGACCATTGAACAGTTGTAGCAATTGCCAACACTCCAAACACCTTGATAAAGCTTTAACTTTCCAAACCGCAAAACAGCAACGATCACAGCATCATTTGCATGTTGAGCCACACTTTCAAGATTTTCAGCGAATGGTCCCCAAAGAACACAATTAAGTCAAACATTTCTACATTGAAAATGATAAATAAATTGAGAAAAAAGGATATTAAACACAAATAGTAAAGATATAGAGCATTAGTGATAGATTAGTAATGTAAATGCTAACTCTGTATCACGGATCTCCATAGAAAGCCTCTTTGTCTGTCTCTTTCCAACATTCAAGATCTCCATATCCCCAATGCTCACAATTTGTCCAATAGCATCTGAGGTAAAAAAAATCATGTTAGTACTTTATAATAACGCAAACAAACTATATATCCAATAAATAATTTAGTAATTAAACAAACTTGCCTATCAAGAAATCTGGATTCATTTTGCCTTCGTGAATATCACTAAACTTGACGAACTTGAAACCTAAGATTCTTGGATCCATTTCTTCTGCCGGTTTGACAGATGTTGTTGATGCGAAAAGGATTTTTTAAACGTGAGGGCTGGTCCTGAACTTACCACCGTTATGAGCCACTTGAAAATTTGTGATAATTCTAGAGGCACCTTCCTCTAACAGATTTTCATTTTTCTTGATGAACTCCTTCTTCAAAGTTACATGCATGGTTTGATTCTGTGTATATATAAAAGAATATGCATGCTTTAAAGATACATAGGTTTGTATGAAACTGAAATAAATGAAGACAGTCGTAAAATATATAGATTAGTACAAATTCTTAAAATTAACATAGATAGTATACCTTCTCATCAACAACAACCATTTCCAACGTCTCTACACCATTCAAATATTGTTTCCACACCTTCAATATCTTCACGTAAACTCTCCATTGAGTTTTGAAGGGCTTCACGGAGTAGAGATCGGTGAAAGAAGACATAATAGCAAGATGAAATTTGAGATTCAGAAATGTATTGAAAGGTGAGGGATATGAAGTATTGGAGAAACGTACATCTATATATATACGGTATTGAGAGAACATGGTATCGCTAGGTTAAATATTTCAAATTTAGAATTTTCTTCTTGTTAATATAATCCAAGGATCTCGATTATTCTTCGTTTAGGAATAAATATATATCTTCCGCAATTTGAGTTACTAATATGGATGTTTATTTAGTTGTTTAAAAAATTTCCAAAGGTTTAGGTTTAGGTTTAGAAATCTAGAAAATGCGAAAATATAGATACTTACTTAATCCGTTTGAAGTTTAAATTATTGTTATTAGTAGTTTAGAAAATTTATCTGGGAAAATATCTATGTTTCGAAAATATAGGAACCAAAGAATTCAATGTAGAATATGCGAAAATATAGATACTTATTTGAAGTTTAAAATATTGTTATTAGTTGTTTAGAAAATTCCTCTAAGAAAAATATTCACCTTTCGAATTTATAGGAACGAAATAATTAAATGTAGAATATGCGAAAATATAGGTACTTACTTTATCCATTTCAAGTTTAAATTATTGTTATAAATTGTTAATGAGAATATATTTGACTAAGATTTTTAAAACATGAGCAATCAATACTGATTAAATTTTTTAAAAATAAAATTGTTGATGCTTATATACGAATTAGATAAATGATTAACTAATGTAGGAATGCTTATATGATTTTGAATAATGAATAACAAAATTATAATGATTATACTCTTCTGTAAATGTTTATTGTAAATTTTATTCATTCAACATGTATAAATAATAGTTAATAAGATAATATATAAATAATACCAAAAAACTCAATAAAGAGGTAATGGTTGATAAAATTATAAATGGAAATATGCAGTTAAAAAAATATATATATGAAGAAGACGTATTTTAAAAATTTATTGCAGTTAAATGTGTTTTAGGAAATAACGGTCTGTTTGGCTATAGAGATAGTAGGAGAATTAAAATTAAACGAACTAATAATATAGCTAAATACCAACTTTAATCCTAGAGCTGCCAAGTGTCCAATAGTACCTCCACTTTAATATATTGGAGATAACTATTTTTTTACAGAATTAGATTTCTTTCAAAAAAATCCAGTGAATAATAAAAATCTACAATAGCAAAAACTTAGGGAAAACGTTATACATTTATGTTTACCTACTGATCAATATTACTTGTATCTCATTCTACAAGAAGTACACATTCAATACTCTCTCCAGAATTTGGTATAAAGTACTAACGGTGTACTTCCTGTCGAAAGTGATCATTCACAAGTAACATAATTACAATAAGACTGTGGCGGTACAATGAATAAAACTACTTCTTCTGATGTGATTCTTCACAGATGCACAAAAAAATTATATAGGAAAACATATATTTTTCTTTCATGTAAACATATTTTTTGTACATCTGTGAGAGGATCACATCAGAAGAATATTTGTAGTATAAGTTGTGTTTGAGTGAGTAAATGTTTGTTTGGTTAGTTAATGAAAATTCTCTTCTGGTGTGTATTTATAGAATGTCTAGAGAGTGATTACTCATGTTTCATCCGTGTGTTTCACATTCCCTAAAAATCGTTTATAATTAAAATATATTAACTAACATTTAACTGATTTATCACAAATTCCGAAAGAAGATACATTTCGAAATAAATGAATACATCTTCACCTATATTCTATAAAATATTTTCATAAATGTAACATTTTGAAAAATAACTTAAAAACATAAAATTAAGATATGTATTCATGGGAATTGCTAAAAATAGGCCATAATTTGATTCCAAATGCAAAAGTATACCCCAAATTCAACCTATTGCAAAAATAGGTCAGAGGGATAGAGAAATTACTATTATCTCTTACATGAGTAAACAAAAAACGGATGTCTCAATTACGATTATAACCTTGCGAAGTCTGCAAATATTAATAAAGTCTTCTCAGCAGACTGATAAAGAAGTCTACTATACTATTAAATCATATTTTTAAATTTAAAAATTATATAAAAATAATGTAAACTGAAATTTGTTTTTATAAATCAAATGTCAACAAGTATGATCTATGAAAATTATAATTTAATAAAAATGAATTATTTTTAACCATCTAAGATAAACATAAAAAGTGAAAAGTTTTAAACTAGGGCTGCAGACTTCTTTATCAGTCTGCTCAGCAGACCGTAAAAGAAGTCTGCTATATTATTAAATTTTATATTTAAATTTTAAAATTATGTAAAAATAATATAAACTGAAATGTGTTTCTATAAATCAAATATCAATAAGTATGATCTATATAAATTAGAATTTAATAAAAATTAATCATTTTAAACCATCTAAAATAAACATCAAAAGTGAATAATTCTAATTTAGGATTACAGACTTCAAAAGAAGTCTACTCTATTTTTAAACTTTATATTTTAATTTAAAAATTATATAAAAATAATTTAAGCTGAAATTTGTTTTCATAAAACAAATATAAACAATGTCGATGTATATAAATTAAAAAGTAATATAACCAATTCAAATTAAACCAACAAAGATAAATATCTTTATTATAAGTTTTAATTTAGGGTTACAGACTAATTTAAGAAGTCTGCATAAACCGAACCCGAATTAAAATTAAAATGTGTACATAAACCGAAAATAATTAACCTAACCGGATATTTTTAACATATTATATAAATGAAACATACTAATTGTTACCCTAAACTAGAAACCCTCGACTCCTTCTCTGTAAAACGGCGCTGTGCTCTCTCTTTCATGGCTTCTCTGCTAGTTTTTCCTGGTTCGTTTTCTTTCTTCTTCAGATTTGCTGTCTCCTCGTTTTTGTTCAAATTCGTGACTGATTTTGGTTTTCAACGGGATTTCAGATCTGTTGAATATGTTGGAATCGAAGGTGTTATTGAACTCAAACGGGAGCTTGAACGGTCGTCAGAATCACACCAAAAATTCGGCCGACGAGGATTTGGTTACCCGAGAGTTTGAATGTATCTTATTTCTGTGATTGACTGTTTCTGTTTTTGCAGAACGTCTTCCTTTCATCGAGAAGAGGATTTGTGCGCATAGCCATGGAACACGGGACACCTCTGGTTCCAGTTTTCTGCTTTGGTCAGGTAGAGAAAAGATTTGCTCACAGAAATGTTGTGCTCTATGTAGTTGTCTTCACGTAACTGATACTCTCAAAACTTGATTTGGTTTGTCAGATGCATGATTTAGATCTTGTACCGTTTCTGCTTTTCCAGTTTTTTTTATCGATTCATCATGTCTTTTGTTTCTTCTGCAGTCACACGTGTACAAATGGTGGAAGCCAGACTGGAAACTCTACCTGAATTATCGAGAGCCATCAGGTTTACCCCGATCTGCTTTTGGGGAGTTTTTGGGTAAGCGGGTTGGTTTCTCTTAGGTACATTTGATTTTGCCTGTAAAAATCTTGAAAGAGGTAAAACTATTCCCATTTCGTTTTGTAGATCTCCCTTGCCGTATCGACAACCTATGGACGTGGTGGTTGGTAAACCAATAGAAGTTTCAAAAACTCTGCAGCCAAGTAATGAAGAGGTTAGTCATGTTCTTCTGTATTGTTTTTTAGCTACTTCTTAGAGTGGAGTCAGGACGGAATTGCGGCTTTGCTATTAGACGTTACTGTGTAGAATGCTTCATAAAAGTTGTAGGATTTATCAGCTTTGTGGTGTTTTTTTGTGCATCTCAGATTGCTAAGTTACATGGCCAGTTTGTGGAAGCGCTTAAGGATCTGTTTGAGAGGCACAAGGCTCGAGTAGGCTATTCTGATCTTCAGTTGAACATTCTTTGAATGAAAGCTCTCTCAATGGAAATTATTGTCTATATATGATCCTTGTTAATCATTTGTTTTATCTTGTAGCTGGATTTGGATTTACCTGTGTATGTCTTTTAACATCAGACTGTTGTAGTAGTGAAATACGTCAATAATAATATCCTGCAAATTACATGTTATTCTCTAGTGTAAGAGTAAGGTTTTTGGTGGATGCCCAAGAAATGAATTTGGGATTGATCAGACAAAAAAGGGACTAATCTTCTTGGCTTATGATGCACAACATTCATTATACAAACAAAACATGCTCAAAATTGATCCATGAACTACGACACATCCGTTAGTCCATAATTTTCTGAGTAAAAATTCTATTACAAAAAAACATTGTTATAAAGATATGTTTGAAAGTTCAAGACAAAACTTTATGTTAATAACCTAATTTTTGAAACAACCTGCATAAATCTGATACAAGCATAAGTAAGCAACCTGCATAAATCTGATACAAGCATAAGTAAGCAACCTGCATAAATTCCTAACTTTACAATCTTTGAAACAACCTGCATAAATATGATACAAGCATAAGCAAGCAATCACTTGACGTTTACCACATATTACGAAGTAGACTTCTTTAGAAGTCTACAGAAATCCGCTAAAAGCTAAATTAAACAAGAAAATTCATTATTTTGTAATTATAACACATAACCACGTCAAACTCATAAATATGCAACATACAAAACAAATAAACATGTCAAAACAAGAAAACTATTTTTACAAGTAACAAATATTTAAAAATGATTTAAAAAAATAATAATTAGGCAGACTTCTTATGCAGTCTGCTATGAGGTGCTAATAGGTAACAGCAGACTTCATCTACAAACTTCTTTATAAGTCTGCTTAGATGTGCTAATTACCTTTCAAATCAAGAAAATTCATAACTTTATAAAAATAACACATAACCACGTCAAACTCATACAGATGCAACACAAAAAACAAATAAACATGTCAAAACAAGAATATCATTTTTACAAGTAACAAATATTTCAAAATGGAATTTTTAAGAAGAATAATTAGGCAGACTTCATATACAGTCTGCTATGATGTACTAATATGTAACAACAGATTTCGTCTACAAACTTCTTTTAGAAGTCTGCTTAGATGTGCTAATTACCTTTTAAATCAAGAAAATTCATAACTTTATATTTATAACACATAAACACATCAAACTCATACAGGTGCAAGAATCATACCTAAAATGCATTTACAATTTTAAAAAATTAAAAAAAAACATTACAAATATTTTATAAAATTGCATTTTAAAAATTTTAAAAAATGCAGACATCCGTTCAAAGTCCGCTGGGAAAATTTCACGTTGAAGTCTTCTAGAAAAAAAAGTTATTTTTGCATTTGACCAAATATTTGACTTTTCGTAGTAGACTTCTTCTTGCAGTCTGCGAGAAGAAAAAGTTATTTTTGCAATTGACCAAAAGTTTGACTTTTAGAGCAGACTTCTAAAGAAGTCTGCTATAGTAGAGAAGTCTGCTTATGAAGTCTACTTTACAAAAGAAGTCTACTAGAGGTTATTTTTGCAATTGACCAAAATATTGACTTTCGAAGCAGACTTCTAAGTAGGTCAGATTTGCATTTGACCGAATCTTAATTAAATTAATAGCAGACTTCTTAATCTGCTTGTAGGTCAGATTTGCTATTTTTTTTTTTTTAAGTCTGCTAAAGTGGTCAAAATCTTGGTCAATTGCAAAAATAACCTTTCGACTCAAACTACGAATTAGCAGACTTCTAAATGATTTTTTTCTCGCAGACTGCAAAAGAAGTCTACATGATTTTTTTTGTTTACAAAGGACAATTCGCAGACTTCAAAAGCTTACAAAAATATGAAAAAAAAAAGTCAATTGTAAATATAACCTTTACGTTGACTAGCAGACTGAAAAAGAAGTCTGCTTTCGCGAAACAGAGCTAAATGTTAAAGAAAATGAAGTAGATGTTTACATACTTCAAATTTAAACTCGATTAACTTTGACATACACCCAGACTTTTGTATAGCACCGATAGCAAACTAGCTAAGTCGTTGTTATGCAAGAATCTCCAAAAAATAGATGATTTATGAAATTGAAAATTATGAAAATGAGCATGAAAGAGTTTTTTAGATGAAATTGGAGAGAAATTTGTAGGTAAAATGAAGTTATAAGCGACACAATGAGCAGTTAGAGCTTCAAAATTGGTTGGGCAAACATTTAGAGCTTCAAAATTGGTTGGTAATGGTGGTTGGCAAAATTGAAGAAGATGGCATTTTCGTAAATAAGTGATATATTTTAGGATGGTTGTGTATTTTTGGTATTTTTCAGAAAAAATAAAAATTGAAAACATAATGGCATTTTCGTGAATATATGTGGTTGTGAGGAGATAGTAGAGAGAAAATGGCATTTGTTGAAGAGGGAGAAAATAGAGGTTAGATTTGCATTTGACTTCAATTTTGAGGTCATATGTGCAAGAATTACATGTATTCTTTATCTACACTTTCTTTATTATACATACCTAATTATCATCACGTAGAATATATCACTGCAAATATGAGCCAATCTTAAGACACAAGCTAAATCTTATATTAATAACCTAATATTTAGCTCAAAATTAGTAACATTGTACCCACACACATTGTAAGCCGTAAACTATCAATATTGTAAAATTCGACCCAATAAATTTAACAATATATCTAATAATATTAAAATTTTATAAAAATGTTCAAGTCCGCACATGCGTGCGGACCAGTATCCTAGTTATAATATTAAATTTGTGTTATATTGAAATTTTAATGTAGTAGTATTAAGATTAGAACAATTTTTTTTGAAATGTGCTATCTTAGATAAATATATCTTTCCGTGTATTTCGATTTAATTCCTTCAATTTTTGTTATTAATTTTTAAAAAAAATATTTTTGTTATTTCAACTCAAAATAAACGGAAGTAATATATTTCAAGAATAAAGAAGGGGTTAAAACGCTAATCTCTTACATAACATAAGTTAACTTACGTATTAGTTAGGAAACACGACAAGATTCAAGTACATTTGAAAGAAACCAGTCCACAGACGAAGGAAGTGTCTAAATTACCGATTAACCCCCATATCCCATATTGTCAAGTGTAGATGTCCAATGGAGGTCCATAGCCCGGATCCATAGATAGAATTTGATCCAAAAATAAAAAAGAATTGGGCTTTAAACGAGGGACACCCCTTGTATAAGTGTTTTTAGGGTCGCCCCTTATGCTAGGTGGAAGATAATGGTTGGCTAAACTCTAAAGACAATCTTTCCTCTTGATTAAAAGTGTTCGATCTTTTTTTTCACTTTTTCTATTTTTATTTTAATATTTTTAAGGGATTTTTAGTAAACCTCGTGCTCTTAGTTGTCTAAACTAAATGGGCAAATACGTAAATCACTTAGGTTATCTCTTCTGAAATTCTTGTCTCCCATGATTGCCAAGTTTACAGAAAAAGAAAGTGAGAACAACAAAATAAAACAGAGAAACCAGGAAGAGAATTTCAATCAAAATGTAAAGAACGTAATCAACTTTTACTTTTGTTTTTGTTTTCTCCTTTTTGACCCGTAATATTCATCAATATGCGCATCGTCATTTTGTATATTTTTTTTTAAGTAGATGCTGGGAAACGATATGATTGCATAAAATTCTTTGTCTGACATTGCTTTACATAAAAACTGCAAAAAAAAAAACAAAAGTTAAATATATGTCAGATTCGTATAAATTAAAGCGTCCCAGATTGATTAAATAATACTTTATATACTCATTACAGATCTGCTCTCGATTTCCGGATTGTAGTGCAATTAGAAGATAAGTTGTCGGAGAAGGCAAAGGTATCCGATGCTTCTTATATAATGGTGGATCTGTTCACTGACTATTTTCTCAGAGAAACTCTCAGAGATTTTCTCGGGAAACGATTCGTTTGTTTATTTATTTTTCCTTTCTTTCTTGCCGACGAAATTTGCTGTTGAAATTCTGGTTTTCGGGTTTTCATTTTCTCTGCAAAATTGTGTTAACGACCATTATTTTTCTTTTGATAAGTCGGGAAATAATTCCATACTTAATTAGTTTAATCATGATAATTTTTCGACTTCTCCTTAACTGTTGAGAGTTGATACGATGATTCAAATGCACGGTGGAGATAGGTTGAGAGTGACATTATTAGATCGGATGTCAACGGTGGAGAATGGCCTGAGCTCAGTGACGTAAGAAGATGTTCTTATGGCCGACATGGGCATTTCCCGGCGGCAACCGCCACCGCCGTCGCTTACTGTGCCGACGTCTCCGGCGAGGAACCGTAGTCTTCTCGACGTGATGAGAAGGGAACGTCGGCAAGATAAATCCACTTGGAAATCTCTCCGGGATAAGCTCCGCCTCAAACGCACCACCACTGCTTGGATCTCGTCTAACCTTATCCCTTCTTTGGATATGCCTATCCTTAGTCCCGATAACTATAGCCACCGATTTAACCGCCTTGGATTCCTCCTTTCTAACTCGGAGACGAACCACCGGAGCAATGGTGGAGCAGAGGAAGCTGCGGCGCGAGAAGGGAGGCTCCAGTTAGGCGAGGTGTTGGCCGAGGAAAGAGAGGTACTAATGTGTTAATTAAGTAGTTAATTAGTTAGTTACAACTTACACGGTTAACTTCATTTCCTCTGTTTCTCAATTACATTTAATAAGAACTAGTTTATCTTAACAATTAATATGGTATCAGAGTCATTAACACTCGTTTTTGTTTCCTTCGAATTTATCCTAGGAAGTGCAGCCACCGAGGATGTCCCTAATGGAGTTGTTAGAGGATAATGCTGGGGCAATGTCTGACGTCACCGAGAGAGGAGAAGCCGAGGAAGAAGAGACGATGGTTACGACGACGGCGATGGTGACCACCACGGATTCGGGTTGTTGCGTGTGTATGATAAGAAGCAAAGGTGCGGCTTTTATACCTTGTGGACATACGTTTTGCAGGTTGTGTTCTAGAGAACTTTGGGTGCAGAGAGGAAACTGTCCGTTGTGTAACACTTCCATTTTACAAGTTCTTAATATTTTCTAGTTTCTCTTGTTTCTTCTGCATTTTATTTTAAGATTTTTTTTCTTTGGTGTTATGCCTGTGGATCTCTTCTTGTACAAATAAATGCATTGTTAGGATCCTTTTTTCAAAGCCATGTTTAATATGATATATTGTCCATTTTGGCTTAAGAGACAGAGGCCAAATGTAATTGATTTTAGACTCTTTCCCAAAAACTTCATACTAATATGTAATCTTTTGATGTGGAAGTTGGCTTAATATGATGATAATATCTCAACATTTTAATTCTTTTTCTACTTAAAAACTTTCATAAGATAATCCGAAGTGTACAGTTCAAAAAAAAACAAAAAAGATAATCTTGTAAAAGCTACATCGGATGAAGAAGTAAACATATAGAGAAAAACACAATTCGATCTGAAGTCTAGTGGTACGAGCTTAACATAAACCTTAGCATTTGCCTAACTGTAGGATATCACTCAACAAGAAACAACAAGTTTTTCTCCTTAAAACAACAAACATTTCAATAAGAACATAAATGATGGTTAATCATATCATTTTCACCAGTCCGTAACTGTCTAATTCAAATACATTGCAGTCACTTGATGCTCGATATCATGCTTGTTAATGTCCACACAGGGGACTCCAAATCCATATTTAGAAGAGATATATTTTTTTCTTTGGCTCATCGTACTTGACAAAATAGACTCACAAAAAGAAACAGTTATCTTTGATATGGATACTTTGGTATCTGAATATCGATAATTTATAATTGTTGCTAACAACATCAGGTTTTATCATTTATGTGCAGTTCTGAGGTTTAGCTAAAAATTATTTCCCGTTAAAACATTCTATTAATAATAACAATATTAAAAAAATATATACAAGTTTGATTTATATCCAGTGATCTGGAAGGCAAAAGAAAAACAGATGAAAAACGGTGCATTTTGCTAAGGAGGCGATTAACAAGGCAATTACGGTTTTCTTATTCCGTCCAGACCAAGTCAGCTCGCCGGCGCTGCTATGGCCACGTCGGCATCATCGTAGGACTCCGGCGATCCTCCTATCTCTCAGCCAGCTGTAATTCCAAAAACAATTTGGCATCTGTGGTGCAAAACAAGCAAAGTTTGAAAAAGTATGACTTCGAGATCACGAGATCAGAGGGTTGAACTAGGTAGAAGTACCAGATGAGGTTTTCGAGAATGCTTCGCCTCTGTGGGAAGATTTTGTGGTGGGTCGGTTTCTTTCAGTGGCGCCTCACGTCGCTAAAGTTCACGTCATAGTGAACAAAATCTGGACACACGGAGAATCATCCCAAAAGATCGAAGTCATCATGGTGAACCTCACAACAATGAAGTTTTGGGTACAAATTCATCAATGCGTGAAAGGATACTCCGGAGAGGTATGTGGAACATAGCAGCAGTTCCGATGGTGGTAACCAAGTGGTTTCCATTCACGGAAGATGAAGCTCCAGAGGTCAAATCGATACCCTTATGGGTTCATATCAAGAACGTGCCCATGAGTATGTACTCATGTAAAGGCTTGAGTTTCATAACGAGTGCAGTAGGAGTCTCAGTTCGACTACATCCGAAAACAGCGACGTGTTCAGACCTTTGACATTGCAAAGGTTTTTGTGAATGCAGATCTTACTAAAGATTTGCCGGAGAAGGTTAATTTTTCAAAGAATAGAATTGAGTCTTTGGTGGAATTCAACTATCCGTGGCTGCCCCCAAAGTGCAACATGTGTGGTAAACGGGGTCACCTAAACACCGTCTGCGTGATCAACAAGCGGCAAGGCTCGACCAAGGGCTGTTCCACAGAGGTGACTCGGGACGAATCCCCGATCATTCTTAAGAAGCAGCAGCAGAGCACTGGCACTACAGTCGAACCAGTTAAAAAAATGCCGGTAACAGAGCAGACAGTCATTGAGACGAGAGAATCAGAGAATCTCCAATCAAATGAAACAGAGCAGACAGAGCAATGGACCAAAGATTCACCGTCAAAAATGGGACGGAGCCCAAATAAAACAAAGGCAAGTGAAGGGAATTCAATTCCAGTCACCACTTCAAAATTCCACATATTGGGAGAATCAATGGAAGAGGGGGGGATAGCAGAGCCCGAGGACGCCACTGAGACACGGGAAACTGAGAACAACAAAACATTTCAATAAGAACATAAATGATGGTTAATCATATCATTTTCACCAGTTCGTAACTGTCTAATTCAAATACTTTGCAGTCACTTGATGCTCGATATCATGCTTGTTAATGTCCACATAGGGGACTCCAAATCCATATTTAGAAGAGATATATTTTTTTCTTTGGCTCATCGTACTTGACAAAATAGACTCACAAAAAGAAACAGTTATCTTTGATATGGATACTTTGGTATCTGAATATCGATAATTCATAATTGTTGCTAACAACATCAGGTTTTATCATTTATGTGCAGTTCTGAGGTTTAGCTAAAAATTATTTCCCGTTAAAACATTCTATTAATAATAACAATATTAAAAAAATATATACAAGTTTGATTTATATCCAGTGATCTGGAAGGCAAAAGAAAAACAGATGAAAAACGGTGCATTTTGCTAAGGAGGCGATTAACAAGGCAATTACGGTTTTCTTATTCCGTCCAGACCAAGTCAGCTCGCCGGCGCTGCTATGGCCACGTCGGCATCATCGTAGGACTCCGGCGATCCTCCTATCTCTCAGCCAGCTGTAATTCCAAAAAAAAATTTGGCATCTGTGGTGCAAAACAAGCAAAGTTTGAAAAAGTATGACTTCGAGATCACGAGATCAGAGGGTTGAACTAGGTAGAAGTACCAGATGAGGTTTTCGAGAATGCTTCGCCTCTGTGGGAAGATTTTGTGGTGGGTCGGTTTCTTTCAGTGGCGCCTCACGTCGCTAAAGTTCACGTCATAGTGAACAAAATCTGGACACACGGAGAATCATCCCAAAAGATCGAAGTCATCATGGTGAACCTCACAACAATGAAGTTTTGGGTACAAATTCATCAATGCGTGAAAGGATACTCCGGAGAGGTATGTGGAACATAGCAGCAGTTCCGATGGTGGTAACCAAGTGGTTTCCATTCACGGAAGATGAAGCTCCAGAGGTCAAATCGATACCCTTATGGGTTCATATCAAGAACGTGCCCATGAGTATGTACTCATGTAAAGGCTTGAGTTTCATAACGAGTGCAGTAGGAGTCTCAGTTCGACTACATCCGGAAACAGCGACGTGTTCAGACCTTTGACATTGCAAAGGTTTTTGTGAATGCAGATCTTACTAAAGATTTGCCGGAGAAGGTTAATTTTTCAAAGAATAGAATTGAGTCTTTGGTGGAATTCAACTATCCGTGGCTGCCCCCAAAGTGCAACATGTGTGGTAAACGGGGTCACCTAAACACCGTCTGCGTGATCAACAAGCGGCAAGGCTCGACCAAGGGCTGTTCCACAGAGGTGACTCGGGACAAATCCCCGATCATTCTTAAGAAGCAGCAGCAGAGCACTGGCACTACAGTCGAACCAGTTAAAAAAATGCCGGTAACAGAGCAGACAGTCATTGAGACGAGAGAATCAGAGAATCTCCAATCAAATGAAACAGAGCAGACAGAGCAATGGACCAAAGATTCACCGTCAAAAATGGGACGGAGCCCAAATAAAACAAAGGCAAGTGAAGGGAATTCAATTCCAGTCACCACTTCAAAATTCCACATATTGGGAGAATCAATGGAAGAGGGGGGGATAGCAGAGCCCGAGGACGCCACTGAGACACGGGAAACTGAGAACAACAAAACATTTCAATAAGAACATAAATGATGGTTAATCATATCATTTTCACCAGTCCGTAACTGTCTAATTCAAATACTTTGCAGTCACTTGATGCTCGATATCATGCTTGTTAATGTCCACATAGGGGACTCCAAATCCATATTTAGAAGAGATATATTTTTTTCTTTGGCTCATCGTACTTGACAAAATAGACTCACAAAAAGAAACAGTTATCTTTGATATGGATACTTTGGTATCTGAATATCGATAATTCATAATTGTTGCTAACAACATCAGGTTTTATCATTTATGTGCAGTTCTGAGGTTTAGCTAAAAATTATTTCCCGTTAAAACATTCTATTAATAATAACAATATTAAAAAAATATATACAAGTTTGATTTATATCCAGTGATCTGGAAGGCAAAAGAAAAACAGATGAAAAACGGTGCATTTTGCTAAGGAGGCGATTAACAAGGCAATTACGGTTTTCTTATTCCGTCCAGACCAAGTCAGCTCGCCGGCGCTGCTATGGCCACGTCGGCATCATCGTAGGACTCCGGCGATCCTCCTATCTCTCAGCCAGCTGTAATTCCAAAAAAAAATTTGGCATCTGTGGTGCAAAACAAGCAAAGTTTGAAAAAGTATGACTTCGAGATCACGAGATCAGAGGGTTGAACTAGGTAGAAGTACCAGATGAGGTTTTCGAGAATGCTTCGCCTCTGTGGGAAGATTTTGTGGTGGGTCGGTTTCTTTCAGTGGCGCCTCACGTCGCTAAAGTTCACGTCATAGTGAACAAAATCTGGACACACGGAGAATCATCCCAAAAGATCGAAGTCATCATGGTGAACCTCACAACAATGAAGTTTTGGGTACAAATTCATCAATGCGTGAAAGGATACTCCGGAGAGGTATGTGGAACATAGCAGCAGTTCCGATGGTGGTAACCAAGTGGTTTCCATTCACGGAAGATGAAGCTCCAGAGGTCAAATCGATACCCTTATGGGTTCATATCAAGAACGTGCCCATGAGTATGTACTCATGTAAAGGCTTGAGTTTCATAACGAGTGCAGTAGGAGTCTCAGTTCGACTACATCCGGAAACAGCGACGTGTTCAGACCTTTGACATTGCAAAGGTTTTTGTGAATGCAGATCTTACTAAAGATTTGCCGGAGAAGGTTAATTTTTCAAAGAATAGAATTGAGTCTTTGGTGGAATTCAACTATCCGTGGCTGCCCCCAAAGTGCAACATGTGTGGTAAATGGGGTCACCTAAACACCGTCTGCGTGATCAACAAGCGGCAAGGCTCGACCAAGGGCTGTTCCACAGAGGTGACTCGGGACAAATCCCCGATCATTCTTAAGAAGCAGCAGCAGAG